GTAAGTAAATCTTTAATTTCAAAAAGTGCGCCTCACTTCAATAAGGTGTGTGCCTCACGCCTGCGCCTTGCGCTAGGCTACAGGACCTCTACGCCTTGTGCTATTTTTACATTACTTGTAACTTATTTTTCCCCATTTGATTGGACATGCAGTGTAACTCGATCCCCGGTGCTGGAGCCTGTGGGGGAATGTATACTGCAAATATCATGGCTTCTGCAATTGAAGCCATGGGAATGTGTCTTCCTTACAGGTAGAACTATGCTTTCGGAATCATTTTGATTGTGAATTTGACATTCTGCCTTTTATTTCTTACTTTTTTTTTTGTATCTGACAAGCTCTTCAGTATCTGCTGAAGACCCATTGAAATTGGATGAATGCCGTTTGGCCGGAAAGCATCTACTAGAATTGTTGAAAATAGATTTAAAACCCCGAGATATCATCACCCATGATTCTTTACGTAATGCAATGGTTTTTGTGAAGGCCCTAGGTGGATCAACTGATGTTATGTTACATTTAATTGCCATAGCAAGGTGAGAACTGAGAGTTTATGCCAGATATCCCTTGGGCTTTAAAATTATTGAAAATTTGGGGAAATGAATCCTGGAATTATTTGTGGCAGGTCTGTTGGTCTAGAATTGACTCTTGATGATTTCCAGAAGGTTTGTGACGAGGTTTCGTTTCTGGCTGATCTGAAGCCCAGTGACAAATATTTCATGGAGGTTGTACACAAGGTGTACATTAACTGCAGACCTTCTGCATCATTCTTTTCTTTCAAGTTTCTTTTTTCTTCCTGCACTTATGAATCATGACATGGATAGCTTTCTCGGTATATGTTATCTATTCTATCACTTCATTAATGGGAAACAATGTTTTGATAGGCTGGAGGAACACCTGATGTGATTCGTTATCTTTTGGAGCTTGGGTATCTCTATGGGGATTGCATGACTGGTATGTCGGCTTGGATTCTACAAAGATTTCTTTATTTATAGTAATTCTAGAGCTTTAACTTTCAATATTCTTAATATTTGCTACGTGATATTTCCACTGTAGTGACTGGGAAGACAATGGCAGAAAATGTTCAAAGCTACTCTCGTTTACCTGACAGACAGGTGGGTACTGTTGTTTTTCCCCACAGTTTTCATGGCACTTTGTTTGTAAATTGTGTAAGCTACACAGTTTCCTTGTCAAATGCTGAGTTTGAACTCTTTGTTTTAGGGGTTCCCAAATAAATCTGTGGTTTTTACCGCGCATATCTTCTATATTCTTTAGCATGAGCTTTGTTTGTGTACCTTTCTGTCAAGAATGCGCGTTTGAATGTGTATTCCATGTATATCTATCTGCATTTGCTAGAGTTTGCTAAACTGAACTCGTAAATTTCCAGGGAAATGTACCAAAGGGCATGTCTGAAATGTTGACCGGAGCAAGTGAAATTATGGGAGCAGTTCTTCGGAAGGTACTGTGATTTCAAGTTGATGGGCACTTACATAATTTAATAAGGTTTTAAAACTATCGTTCTACATTTAACGTGTCATTAATTTCCTAACTAAAGCAATCCTACATTCTTAGGCAATCCGGGTGGTGTTTTACGCGGTGAAGTTCTTGCCGAACTTGGCAGTACAGATTTCTGTGAAGCTTTTCGTGAAGGTGCTGAATCTGAATCCGATCACGAAGCTGATCACAGAGAAAGTAACCAACATCGTGGCACCACTAGCAATAAATTCTGTGTCACCGTTGGCGAAAAAGTTGGCAATGATGCCAATAAAGATGGGGGCAATTCCCATGTCACCGTTACTGGCAGTTTTGGTCGAATGGTTAGCTATAGATGTGGTGGAATGGTCTTTGAAGAAACTCGTGACAAAGCTAGTGACAAAATTAGTGAGTCCGATAGCAGAGTATTTGGTGGGATGGCTGGCGGCCTACTTGATTGAATGGATGGTGAGGAAATGGATCAAATATGATGATCTATGTCATCCTTCTCGGCATTTAGTTCTCAACTGCTTCTTTGATCTTGGCTTTTGGTTTTGGTTCAGGGGAGGCAAGGCATTTCGCATTAGGTTCCGTCAGTGAAATGATTGATCTTTGGCTTTTGATTTTGGTTCTTTTTTCTAAGGAATTGTCTAAAAACAGCAATTTGTTCTTATATGCATAAATCACATTTCATGGGGACAAGGGTGGTTCTACTTGAACTATATCTCAAAACGTTTTTACGGATTCTTTCACAACGAGACTAGTTTTATATCTTTCTTTGTTTTCCATCGTTTTGGAGGTTTGATTGAGTCATCCGACTATTAAAAGTTATAAAATGATATCCTGACTATAGGATGTTGTTTTGTATAGTCCTTTGACTATTGAAAGTGACGAAATGAGCGTTTGACTATTTATTATTTTTTAAATTCGTCATTTTGTGTTAAAAATTGATGGCAGTTTGAGTTAGATGTTAATTTGTTGTAGAGATACGATAGTCGTTTGAGATTTTGGAATCAGATTTTTTTTCAAATCTTAAACAACATATTGACATCTAACTCAGATTGTCGTCAATTTTCTAACGGAATAGGACGATTTTGCTACATAAAGAATAGTTGAGTGGTTATTTTATAACTTTTAATAGCTAGATGACTTAACAAAGCAACATCCTATTAGGGATGAGTAAAATTCGACTCGAAAAATCGATTTTTTTCAATTTTGAATAATTTGAGTCAACTCAAATTATCAATGGAATTTCGAATTACTCGAAAAACTAAAAATTTGACTAAGTATTTTGACATTTTTTATGATTTAGTCCCTGATTATTATTTCTTTAATTACTCCTTCATTTTAAGTCCATTTTAACCAAATTTGAACTATATGCTCCTAAATCAATGTAGAATATATATGTATATTCAATTTCTATTTTTTATAACAATTTTTTTATTTTTTCTATTTATACCCTCAATTTTCATAATTTCCTTGTTTCCTCAATTTCTCCTTCATTTTAAATCTTTTTTTTACCAAATTTGAACCACATGTTCCTAAAACTTCGTAGAATATATGTACTTTCAATTCCTATTTTTAATAATAATTGTTTTATTTTTCAATTTAGTCCCTCAATTTTTTATAATTTACTTATTTCTTCAATTCATCATTTATTTTAAGTTCGTTTTAACCAAATTTGAACCACATGTTCATATACCACAATAGAATACATATGTAATTTCAATTCTTTCTTTTTTTTTTTATCAAAACTGTAATCTCTCTCTCTTTGTTTAGTCCATTAACTTTGCATTTTACTCAATTTGATATTTTGACTGCAATTGTTTGCAAATTCTTTTTTCCTATCAATTCCTTGCTCTCATCAATATTTTACCCTCAAATATTTTTATTAAAATATAATATTATGAATATATTTCATAATTTTAGATTACATTTGATATATTAAATAACATTTATAATGTGAATACATATATATATATATATATATACATCTTACATGGTTAGAGAAAGTCAAAGAATTGTAACAATTTTTTTCCATAATACTATAAATAATTATAATAAAATTAGTATAGAAACTCAAATAACTCGATTCAAATTTCTTAAACTCGACTCGACTTAAAAAAATTCAAGTTAAGTTTGAGTTGTAAAATACAACTCGTCAACTTGAATAACTCAAAAAATTTTGACTCGACTCGATCGAATGCTCACCCCTACATTCTATAGTCTGGGATCATTTTATAACTTTTGATAGTCGATGTCTAAGCAAACCAACATCTTATAATCGGGAGCTCATTACCCTAAAAGTTTGTATACCACCAAGCAATGACACATCTGAAAGCAATGAGATTTTATCACATCTCAGACAACATATTAACATCTAGTTCAGACTGCATTGATTTTTAATAGAATAGGACGATTTTAGTACATAAAGAATAGTTGAGTGACTATTTATAACTTTTAATAGTTAGAGGACTCAACAAAGCAACATCCTATAGTAGGAGACCGTTTTATAACCTTTCAATCTTATAATCAGGAGACCATTGTGCACTTTACCCTAACATTTTTTTTATACCATCAATCAATTACTCAACTTCTTAAAACATTGTTATTTTTTTTAGAATTTATCTCTTTATTCATTGTATTGTATCTCAATTTTGATTCATTATAACTTAAAATTTGTGAAAATGGCTCAAAATATTCTCAATGCTCCAATATTATACTCATACTATTATAAATTCACAATTTAGTCACTAGAATATGTCGATTTCCCTTTTTTTAGGAGATCTCATCAATGTTGAAACAATTTTTTATGTGAATCATGTTGTTTAAATGATTGTTCAATAATTTATAGATTCTTTTTGAACAACTTGTTCTATTGAAGTGTTATCAATGGTTCTTTATTGATTGTATTATAATTTTTAGATTTTTTTGAAAATTATAAAATTTTTAGAATAAATTAGATATAAAATCATTGCTCAATGACTTATTTGATATTTTAGCAATAATTTAGGAGTAAAACTGAATATTTATCTTTTTGTTAACATTATCATATCATCGATTTAATAAAAAAAAGGTAGTGGAGTGACCATTTTACTACAGATCGATAATGTTAGTGGTCATTTTATTATAAATTGATAATGTTAATGACCAATTTGTTACTTTGAAACTTCAGTGAAAAAAATGAAATTTTACTCAAATATTAGTGACCGTTTGTGTAATTTACCCTTTAATTTTGATAAGAAATTGACTAAGTTGAATACATGCTATGAAATTTAAATAAATTAAGAATTAATGGTGTAATTCTACTATTTAACAAATATATTGACAAACTTAAACGAACATATTTATTAAAATAATAAATCTTTAAACGAATTTATTCACTAATATTATTAAAATAATTAAATTAAATATAAATACTTTAAAAATAAATAAACAAAAATAGATACAATTTTACTAATTCAAATAGAACTTATTTACACTTATATCAATTTGCACATGTCTCTTTCTCTCTCCCCACTGTGCTATGTAGTGTGACAACACAATCAAGTCGGGTCTTCTCCGACAGCCAAATGCAAATCACTCATACAATTTGACCCGCCACCACCATAGCCTAGCCTAGCCTAGTCAAGGGCACACACACACACATACTCTTTACTCTTCATTCCAATCTCCCATAGTCTCCCATGAAACGTAATCAGCTCTCCGAATGCGGCGGTTGCGGCGCCCCGGACCGGTTCTTCCTCCACAACCTCCGCCACAGGGCCACCTACCGACGCCTCTGCACCAACTGCGTCCTCAAGAACCACCAGGGTCTTTTTTGCCCCATTTGCCTCGAAGTCTTCAACGAGCCCCCTCCCCCTCACCAACGCCTCATCTGCCTCAAATGCCCTTCCATTTCACACCTCTCCTGCCCTTCCTCCTCTCCCCTCTCCCAATCCTTCACATGTCCCCCTTGCTCCAACCCTAATTTCTCTTTCTTCAGTCTCGCCGATGAGAATCCCCAAGGATCTATCCTCGACGCCGCCGCCGGTGAGAACAACGACGACAAGACGTCGACGAAGACGAGGGTTATAAACAAGGAAGCTTCCAAAGCGCTTCTAGCTGCTGCTAAGATCGCCGCCGTATCCATGACCAAAGCTGCCGCCGTTGCTAAATTGGAGGCTGAGCGGAGAGTCAAAGAAGCCACTTTGGCGAAGAAGAGAGCCAAAGAGGCTCTCGAGAGACTCGCCTTGTTAGTCCGTAAGGACAATGATAGACATAAGTCGTCACTTATAAGCACTCCCAAATCTGCCGCCGCCGCCGCCGCCGCTGCCGCCACCAAAACCAACTCTTTGTCTCTTCCATCTCATGTTCCTGAAAAGGGGAATAATAGGTCGTGTTCTGTTTCCGCTGCTAATGTTCCCAAGTTGCAGCGTCAACATAGCACTCATGGTATGCTTAATTGACCCATTGGCGATTCCAACAATCTCTGTAAACTGTTTTGTTTTTTGTTGGTATTTTTAGGCTGATGTTTATGGAACCATATGTTTAATCTTTTTAGAGAATAGCCTGTTTATTTGGACTCAGCTCTTTGTTTGCATTCAATTGTAGCTTTCTCTTCTGCCCTGTATGTATTTTCATGAGTTCATTGTTTATGCTCATTTGCTTCCTTGCTTATTTTGTTCTCTTTAATTTCATTTTGAACCCTTCTTATGCCCACAAATCCAAAATTTCTGAATCCCTGCTCTAATTAAGCTTATCAGGCCATTTGAGTTGTTTGACTAGTAGTTCAGCCTAGACAACGCCTGATTACAATAACAAAAAAGTGTCAAAAAATTGTCTTCAGATGCTTGGCATCCTCAATATGTCCATTAATGAATGCATCGTGATAGTATATCCGAGTTTATCTCACTTCAGATGCTATTATTGCTGTATTTTCAGAGTGAAGCAGGTTATGCTTCCCACTATACAAGTGCCGTATTAGTCTTGGAATTGGTTGATCGGGACTTGACCTTTGGTTGTTAACTTGTAGAATATGGTAAATCTTTTTTTTAAATTTTATTGCGTATATTGTTTTGCAAGCTTTGTTAGGAAGGCATCTACTTCTAATCTGAATGTTTGGTGTTAGCCTTTTCCTAGGCTTGTTAGATTAAAGATAACGACGGAGAGGAATTCCTCCACTCCATTCCTTTTCTTTGTGCAACGTTTCGTGTAGTCACTTATTCTTAAGACAACGTTGCACAATGTTTTATGGGCAAATGTTTGTATAGTGATAGTCGTTTTTAGCAGTAATTGCTGAAGAACAAATCAGTCACTGTGCAGTGCTGATTCCATAGGAGTACATATTGCCTAATGGAGTAAAGGTTCTTTGGGACTTTGGTTTTGTTGCTCTAGTAAAATCTCTGTTAATGAGCACAGGCCATTCCCAGGGACATGCTGAGTTTTATAGATTGTTATGGGCTTATGACATTAGCATGAGGATGAGGGTCACCATGTACAGGGCCTAGGTGAAGCTTAGTTTGCTTTTCAAAGTTACATGCACGGATCGGTGCAATACTTAAAGCCTATAAGGGACTTCTTTGTTGTGTTGAGAAATGTTTTGGAATTCGGATGTCGAGGAGAATACGTGCAAGATGCATTTCATGACTAGTTTGTATCTCTTTATTCTGCTGCTGCTGCTTCAATGAATTTCTGCCTTCAAAAGTGATATTTGCTTTGTATGGTAACTATGGCTACAACATAGATGTATAAAATACAAAAGCAAATTGCATATAACATCAATATGTGATGCAAATGCAAATGTTTTCAGAGGGTGACAAAACATCGATGGCCTACCTGTGGCACTGGCACCCCCATTTATTTTGCAGTTCACATGTTCGTTTTACGATCTATGTCTGAGATTTGAGGTTGTCCCTCCCTATAATGTTGTGTTCATGATTCGAATCTTTGTTCTTTCCGTAGAAGTACAATGTGTCTTACTGCACCCGATATTTGTTGTTAGAGCAGGTTCGATTTTGTTTCTTCGGGACAAAGTGGTAGCAGAAGTGGGGAAGGAAATCCAGACCCCATGTGCCAACGATTGTATTGATTTTGAATGCTTGAAGAATTTCTAGAACTAAACATGTTTGTTGCCTTCTTGTGAAGCATTTGTGAATAGAGAGTTCACCCAAGAGCATGCTGGGAGGTTCCTAGTGGCCTTTTTATGAAGCATTTGTGTTGTCATTTGATGTATTAGTTACAAAATATTGAGAGATCAAAGTGTATTTAAATAAGATAATTTTGGATTATGCTCACGTGATATAATTTCACAGGTCAAAGATTTTGGAGTTTATATAATTTAAAATTTTAAACTTTAAGATTTAAAGTCTAGGGTTTATGATTAGTGTAAATTATTAAGATTCAAGATATAAGTTTGGGTTTAGGTTTGAGTTAGGATTAGGGATGCAACAGGTCAGGTTTTTGGTCAATTTGACCCGACCCAAAAAACATATACTATTCATTCGAACTTTACTCGACCTGACCTAAATTTTTAGGGTATAAATTTGATTTGACCCGAGTTGATTCGACTTAGAATAAAATAAGGACTAAAAAATAGAGGAGTATTATAGCAATTATTCATAAATTTATTTAAAGAAATTACAATATTACCCTTGAGATGGGTTATAGTTTTTTCAACTTTCACACGAAATCAACCTCATTTTATAAAATTTGACCCAATTCGAACTTGAAAATGTCGTATTCTTTTAGATTGGATCGAGTTGGAATCCGTCAATTTTGGATTCAATTTTATCCCTAGTTAGGATTTAAGGTATATGATTGGGTTGGAATTTAACTTTAGATTTTATGATTTAGCGTTCAAAATTGGTATTAGTAAATATAGGCTTAATATAATTTTAGGTGTTTAAATTATATCTCAAATTAACTTTTGGTGTTTAAAGAATGTTTTGTTATAAATATGTTCCTAAAGTCTCCAACGTTACAATTTTAGGTGCATGAACCGTAATTTGATTGTTATTTAACACGTGTCACGTATATAAAATTTAAAAAATATATATTTAAAAAAAACCCAAAAATCCACTGTCAATCGACCATGTTGGTCTATGGTTGTCATTTTTTACATCACCAAAATCGTCTTGCCATCACAACCAAAGCCTAACTCCCACCCACCGTGAATTTGCGTTGATTGTCGTGAAAAGCGTCATAAAGAATAGCCTTTTTTTAATTTCCCTTCGTTATTTTTTGACAATTTCAACAACTATAGTTGGTTATACTTTAAATGACCGCTACTATTAAATTCCTTGCTCTGCTCCAAACAAAACCCAACATGGAGGGAGAAGGACGACACGAAGAGTTTGATTTTTTTTTTTGATTTTTTTTATTTTTTTAATATTATATTTTTATTATTAAAAACAAAAAATCGGAAAAAATATAACAATAGACATCTACAAGTATAATAGAGAAAACACTAGACACTTATTTTTAACGAAAAACTTTTAAACACCAAATCTAAAATTTAATCTGAGACATAATTTAGTCACTTATTTTTATATTCATCCTAAAATATATTAATGGTTATAAAACTTTTGACATTAATGGTACACATCACTAGGGGTGTAAACGAGTCGAGTCGAGCTCGAATATTGCCGAGCTCGACTCGAACTCGAAAACTTTAAATGTAGGCTCGACTCGACTCGAAAACTTGCGAGCCTAAAATTTTCAAGCTCGACTCGAACTCGAAATATAATAAAAACTCGTCTCGAACTAGAAAAGGCTCGAACTCAAAAAAAATTCAAGAGCTCGATTGAAGCTCGAGACTCGAGCTCGATTGGAGCTCGATTCAAGCTCGAACTCGATTAAAGCTCGAACTCAAACTCGAATTTGATCCTACAAAAATCTTATATTACATTTAAAATATATAAATAATTTTCTCTTTAATCAACCATTACCAATACATTATAATATGAATGTATGAACTATAAAAAATCTAAAAAAATAAAAAATACAATTACAAGAAATTTAGGATAATTAATATAAGTTTTGAAGTTTTTTTATAATAATTATTAGTATTATTATTACTCATGTTTATTATATTAACATATGGTGCAAATCGACGAGGAAGCCCGAGATAGTGCACCACCCACGTGAACCCATCGAGGAAGACCCATGCTGGTCTGCCATCCACCGAAACCAATGCTGGCCATGCTCGAATCCATGCCTTGCAGACACACAAAACAAGGGACAGAGCACCAAGCACAAAACAAGGGACAGAGCACCAAGCAAAAAACAAGGGACAGAGAACCAAACACCAAAACCAATACTAGGAATGACAATTAACAGCTTATGCAGCAGTTGATAAGAATTGAATTGTATCTATGGGACATGTAAAATAATATGTTTCTGGGAAGAAGGGGAGTGAAAATTTTGAAATATACAACGAATGAACCACCATATAGAATACAAAATATAAAACAATTTCAACCTTAGATTGTATTCAAAGATATAATTAATCGAAAATTTATATAACCTTACTTGTGACATTCACATATATCCTAATCACTAACGTGAAAATATATTTCTTGACAAAACCATATTCAATTATCAGCAGAGTTTTCTGCAACCTAAATCAACATAAATAAAGAAACCATTATAATAAGACAGTGTGGTATTTGTCCACTCACCTGAAATCAATCAAAGGTCGAATATAATTTTGACCAAACTTGTAGTAGCCAAATGGCTCCCGCAAAGCTTTGTGGTAGGATTGAAATACAAAAGGATCTTGAAAAGCTACTGTCATATTTCATGTAGAAGTTCATAAAAACTTATAATCGAAATGCAGTATCTGAAAAAGGAAGTTCATAAAAGTTACAAACTGTAGATTCATCTTGAAAGAGCATTTTAGAACAATTACCTCTACATCCAAAAGTACACGGTCAAGTGCAACAGCCATGTTCGACAACACAACTTCAGCAGCAGCGAGATCTCCACTTTGAAAAACCTAAATGTTGTCACATGCGAAAGATTTTCTCTTTTAAGTTTTCAGATATACAGGTAAAAGATACGCAAGAATGAAAAAAAAAGTTCACCAAGATTTTCGAAGGGCATAGATCGTGTACTGAGGAGAACATATCATATCTAGAGCATACATTAATGTGCAGTAAAGTTTGGGTTTCTTGCCTAGGCCAGGGAGGAAAGAGTGGTCCAGGCGTTAGGACTCTTCATCGGAGTTCGTGGGGACGGCGAAGGCCGCGGTGGTCATGGTCTGGCATGGTTACGGAGTGGTGAAGCTGGGTATTTACGAGGGTATTATGGGTTTAAGTTTAAGGTTTTGGGGATGTTTTTATGAAGGTTGTCACCGAAATATGTTTAGGAGAAGTTTAAGCTCCACATCGGAGCACTAGGCGACTGAAGCCACAGAGGTTGTAGGTCTCTGTTAGGGTTGAGCGAGGAAAAATGATAGAAGTTGAAGTGTAGAACTCCGTTGAAGAAAGGCGAGAGGAGCGGCAGCTGCGGGCCTGTGACACTGTTTTCTGGTTTGCATGAGAATAAGAGGGGGAGAGTTGGAGAAAATTAGGGCGTGAGACTTGAGCGGCTGAAATGAATATTTAGTTTAGGTTTGTTTTAATTTAGGTTCTAAACCCTAATTAATTTTGGGGTTAATTATCGTTTAGCCACCATAACCTTAGGGGTAAATTAGCTTTAGGCTCTCTAGATTTATGCGTTTTGTACAAAACAGTCCCTCAATTATTTAAATTTTAGCTTAAATTAGTCCTCACATTTAGATTTTTCTTAATTTAGTGTCTGTTTAGGATTGTTTTCTTTAATTAGTTGTGTATATTTATTTTGCATGTTGATATGTTTATGTATAAGTATGTGAATAATTTATTTATGAGCCACATAACATCATTTTGCATAATTTGTATGTTACCTTCATGGCATAACTTAAACCCTAACACATAAACCCTAAACCTTAACACATAAACCCTAAACCCTAAACTTTAAACCTTAAATCCTATCACATAAACTCTAAATCCTAAACCCTAAACCTTATCACATAATTAGTTATGAGGTAAGTACAATATAGTATCTTGATATTAAATGCTCAAACCCTTGATATTTATGATATTTGAACCCAAAACCTCAAAATATAACAACAATTTAAAAAATTAGTTATTACAAATATTATCATTAGAAATATATTAAATATTTGTCATTAGAGAAATAATTTTTTTTATCAATTTAAAATAAAATATAAGAATATTTATTCAAAAATAATTTTTAACCATTTTCAATTCAAGAATATTTATTCATCAATAATGTATTTTTAATATATTTTTAATAATGTAATTTTAAAAAATATAAAATTATAATATAATATTTTTTTCGAGTTGCTCACGAACTTTTCGAGTCGAATATCGAGTAGCTCGTTTCAGCTCGTTAAGAACTCGAGTCGAGTTCGAGCTCGAGTCGAGTCCATTCGATCCGAGTATTTATCGAGCCAAGATCAAATCGATCTCGAGTAGCTCGCAATCTATCTCGTCTCATTTACAGCCCTACACATCACTATCTTATTTATCAATTAAGGTTTAAAGGCTCTCCTGCCTATTATTTTTTTTATCCTTTTACCCTAAAAATTATTTTTTAGATGTTTAACCCCTTAAATTATATAAAGCCACCTTTATTGTCTTTTTCTTACATCATTACAAAATTTTGACCAATCAAAACGTGTCATATAATAATTTTATCCGACTAGCTTTAATAAAAATAATTAATGACATACATCTTTATATTTTATTAAATAACAAATTTTATTGCATAAATTCCTTTTCTTAATCCTAACAAATGACGATTTAATATAATTATTTTTAATTGATATTAAATAATATTTTTAACAGTTTTCATTAAATAAGCCTATTTTTATTCATAATAAATTTGTAAATAAAAAAGAGTTAACTACACCATATGTCCCCAAACTATAACTCTCACTTTAAACTAGTCCTTAAACTTTTGAATATTCCAATTGCATCCCTAAACTATGACTCTCATTTTAAATTAGTCTTTAAACTTTTGAGCATTCTAATTTCATCCCTAAACTATGACCCTCTTTCTAATTTGTCTCTAAATTTTTTAACGTTATAATTTTATCCCCAGATCCATCCAAATATGTAATTAGTTTCAACCATAGTTTAACTTAATTTTTTACAATTATATAATAATATAACTTGACTTGACGATTTTATTAACAAGGGATGCAATTAGTATATATATGTATAGTTTGAGATAAAAATGGAATGTTCAAAAAGTTTAGGGGTCAATTTAGAATGAAGGTCATAGTTTGGGGATAAAATTGAAATTTTCAAAAGTTGAAGGATTAATTTAGAATAAAAGTCATAGTTTAGGGATACAATTGAAATATTTAAACGTTTAAGGACTAATTTAAAATTATAGTTATAACTTGAGGACATATGATGCAATTAACTCTTTTCTAAAATTTCCTTCAAAATTCCCCCGACCCACACTCTCAACTCTCTTCACACATCCCGCCGCCAAAACAAGCCCTCTCTTCACAAAAGGAGGAAATTAAACAAGGTAAACCCTAAACTTAATTTGAAGATCGATTTATACTTTAGTCAAGAGAGAGATTTTGAGTTATCTGATCTCTGCATCTTCTTCACTCTGTTATATCTGATTATCTATTTCCTGTCGTACTGCCTGAATTTTCTTAAAAAAACTATCGGTTTAGCGGAATTAGCGGACAGCTATCGCCGCTATTTTCCGTTGCACTGTTATTTTGCGGCCTGGATACGCTTCTATTAGCGGCGGAGGACGGCGTTATTTGGAACTCTACAAATATTGCTTTGTTTCGTCAATTCTAATTTCTTCGACTTTTAGCAACAGCGATACAAATGCCAGAAAGCAAGGCGGTTATTGGTCTGAAATGGGAGCCCAAGCTTCCTGGTTTGCCTTTACCATCTACAACCACCTCTATTTCTGGTTCCGGGTCTGTTTCTAAATCCCAGAATGAACCCGAAAACACTTCCCTTTGGAAATCCAACAACCAGCTCGTCGATGGCCTCTTTGTACCACCTAATGATCCTTCAAAGGTTAATAAATTGCTCAGAAAGCAAGTCAAAGACACTGCTGGCTCCGCCTGGTATTCTTCATGTTTCACACCTTTTCCCTTTATGTTTTAACCCTCCTTTCCTCGCTACATGTATCTCAAAATTCTTACTTCAACAGGTTTGATATGCCTGCCCCAACTCTCACCCCCGAGTTGAAGAAAGATCTTCAATTACTCAAGGTGCGCTGCCCTTTGCATCCCCCTTTTGTTTAACGTATTTTTGTCAATTGTATTTTTTGAGAACCTTCTTTTTAGATGTTGTATCATATCCGAGGGTCGATTTTCATATCTTAAATTCATGTTTGAAACCAATGAGGATTACGATTTAACGTTTAATGGAAAGATAATTGAGTTAATTTTTACTTTGAATTTGACTTGACTACAATGTTTTTCTTTAGGCGCTTATTGCTTTTGGAGTTTTGTCAATCGTATTTTATAAGAACATGCTTGTTCGATGTATCATTGTTGATTGTTGGGGTATCTTCAGTTCATGTTTGAAAATAATGAGCCTGTCAAGATAATTAATATGGTTTTAGTTTGAATTTGACTTCACTACAATTTTTTTCTTAGGGGTTTATTGCTTGAGGAATTTTTTCAATCGTATCTTTCTAAGAACATCCTTTTTAGATGTATCATTGTTGATTGTTGGCATTATCTTCAATTCATGCTTGAAAGTAATGAGCCTATCATGATAATTAATATGATTTTAGTTTTAATTTAACTTCACTAGAATGATTTTCCTAGGGTTTCATTGTTTTTGGATTTTTTGTCAATTATATCTTTTTGTCAAATCTTTGGTTCATGTTCGGAACTAGTGAGCCTATCAAGATAATTGTTTTAAATTTTTAGTTTGCATTTGACATCACAATAACGTTTTTACCTAGGAGTATTGTTTTAAGATTTGACATGTTCAGACCTTTCCATGGACCCAATTCTTGACATTGGCTACTCGTGTTTGTTTTTGATACAGTTGAGGGGAGCCATTGATCCCAAGAGACACTATAAAAAGGATTCAAAATCCAAAGCACTGCCCAAGTACTTCCAGGCAAGTTCACTACCATAGCATAGTGCATGTTTATTTTTACTTTTTTTTTCCGATTTTTATGTTCATCCTGGTCTGATATATTTCTCTTTTGACATGCAAGCAGGTTGGGACTGTGGTAGAATCCGTGACAGACTACTACTCAGGTAGAATGACAAAGAGTGAGAGGAAGGCAACCCTAGCAGATGAGCTGCTTTCTGATCCAGCTGTTAGGCAATACAGGTGAGATTTGTTTTGATAAGCTACTTCGGAAGTCATTTATTTTCGGTTGAATGCGGTATATCATTATATAATACCTAGTTCCATGATCAAATAAGAGGGTGGCCCAGAAAACACTATCCGATTCCCCTGTTGCAGAAAGAATAAATATAACAATACACACTGTCACAACTCATAATGGGTGAATTGGCTAGTATGTGGGATCAGGGATGCCTTAAAAAAGTGACCAGAATAATCTGCAATCAGGAGAATACCATCAATTTCTTCATTATCGAACATTGTTGCCATCTTTTTAGGTCAAATTCTATCAATAGTCTCCATGCTATGTGTAAATTTGTGGATTTAGTCCTTGTACTCTTATTTGGTCAATGTTGGCCCTATATTTTTTGGATTTTTGAAGTTTCAGTTTGACCCAATGATACATGAAGAATATGATTAAATTATAAGGACTAAAAATAATCAAATTGCAGAACAAAAGCTAAATTTACTGGTACAGAAACTAATAACAGGTTTGGCTTGACAGATTTAATGGTTATTGTTTGATTTAGGACCTAAACTTCAAATTTTGAAATGTACAAGAACTAAAAGTGATCAGATTAGAATATATTGATTAAACCTAACTTAAAGCATGGCATAAATACTAAGCATAGTTCGACCATCACTTTATTACTTTCATTATTCCTTTGGCAATAATGCTTTTGCACACTATTGATCATCGTCTGTCAAACTTCCCACAGGAAGCGTAAGGTTCGGGAGATTGAAGAATGTAATCGACCAACCGGTAATGAGAAATGGAAGATAAAAGGACGTCAAACGTACAAGCGGGCGAAGCAGCGAAGGCATTAACTTCTTTCCATGCTATATGGTGTCTGAAATTTTGACCCTATTACTAGAAGGGAATTTTGTGTGCCAAATGTCCCAAGAAACAAGATGAACAGTGGAGTTGTTTGAAGGTAATATCAATGGCTTTCTTCGGGTTAAAACTATGGTCCTCCTTGGGATATACCCCATTATTGATTCTTGATTCTAGATATTTAAGCGTTTTGATTGATAGTGGTGAGCCTATTTAGACAAAAATGCCAAGGGGTTTACTAGTTACCAGCAGTTTCTGCAATTAGAGAACAAGTGTTTGCATCTTTGAATTTTTTTAACAATTTTGTAGAATGGTTATATTATCCGGACCCGATTTTAACTGTTTAAACATGTTCGTTCTCACGTCTTCCCATATATTGTACCAACGATAATACCAACCGAACTAAGCTCAACCGACACCTTGATTGGTTGATTTTTTTATTAAACTACGGAGATTACGAAGTAGTATCTGTTCTAAGTACTCTGAACCATTCAAAAATAAACGTTCTATTACTCTTGTCATCGTTGGTGCTCGAATCTGTGACTTCTAAGAACAACAACGATTTTTTAACTGAGGTAATATGGTCCGTGCACCTTGATTGGTTGTTTTTATTTGTTCTTGTTGGGTTATTACTGAAAAATATGATTGGAGTCATCTATTAGGCACGATTGTTGTTGGATGTTGAAGCCTATGACAGCACATTCCAACCAAAATTTGGCAGTCAGAATTTTTATATGTATTTTGCAACCAGCTCAGATTATGAATATAAAAATAAAAGATTTTCCTATATATTGGTATTAGGGATAGATTTTAATATAGTTAAAAAAAGTATCGGTTTTATTATTATTATTTTTAACAAACTCGGTAAAAAATTATCGAAAACGTTATTATTTCCACCGGTTTTATTATTATTGAGCATTTTATCGGTTTTGGTAACATATACCGTAAAGCGCTACTGAAAATATTATTTTTTTACCGGGTTTTTTACCGTGTTTACTAATATCGGTAATTAACCCAATAATAACAAAATCGGTAGAAATAATAATGTTTTAGGTAATTTTTTTACCGGTTTTGTTTAAAAAAATAAAAACAAAACCAATAACGCATTTTCTTAGCCTATATTAAAGGTGTCATACTGTAGAACTTTCGACTATTTTATAATATCAATATTATTATTATTATTATTATTATTAACGGTTTAATAATATACATTACCATACCTACCTACTAATGTGTGTATTTATATTACACCTACGATATAAGTAAATAAAAATATTTTATATAGAAATATAAGTTTAAGGGTGCGTCAATGAGTGTTGGTATAAGTGATTAAGATTCAGGAATTTGAGATTGTATGAATCTTTACATTATCATTTTTGGTGAAAAATCTATAAATTCTTATGTAACGTGCTCTAATATTATACTGAGAAATCACCCATGACTTAATTTTTTTTGTAACAACTCTCGAACTTATAAAAGATAAAAAAATAATTAAAATTTTGAACTCCTTTTCATCTAATTAAGTTCTTATGCTTCAAAATTTTATCCATTCTATTTTGATTGATATTATTAAAGTTAATAATTTATTATCAGTTGGTGTGACATGTAATATTATGGTGTTGTCGAGCGATATTTTATTATTTTTATTTTTTAAAATTATATCATAATTTTAATATTTTTAAAAAATTCATGTGATAATAACACAATATATCATGTGACATTAATATCTTAGAAAAGTTGTTAAGATTAAACAATTAAATGATTTAATTGATTCAAAACAACATTGTTTTGTGGTGTGACAAGTCACGTCAACAACCATTAATCATGTCATCTTCTTGTTACTAATTTAAAGATAGAGTGATATAATTAAATGTAAAATTAATGTTCAATGTTATAATTGATAAAATTTAAAAGTTCAGTAACATAAACGAGTCAATGAACATAGTTCAATAATATATGAAGTAATTTTCTTTTTTAATTGATATTTAATTAATAAATAATAATAATTATAAATTATATATTTAGTATTTAAACTATTAGTTTTATTTAATTTTAGTACCTAAGCTTTTAATTTTTTATATCATACCTAACATTTAGTTTTTGTTCTATTTTAATACATGGTCGTTAAAAACTTAATTGTATTGTATTTTTTATGGGTAAATTATATCATTTATCACTCAACTATCTTATCACTTCTATTTTGACATGAAAGTTTAAAAATTTTCAATTTAACTACTAAACTTTCAAATTGTTCCTATTTAATCACTCCAATTTTTATTATTATTATTTTATTAATATATAATTAAAAATAAAAAATGGAAGTTAGAGTGATTAAATTATGAGTAATATGAAAGTTAAGTAATTAAATTAAAAAAATAAACTTTAGTTACCAAAATAGGAATGAGGAAATAGTTGAGTAATAAATAATATAATTTACCTATAAAAGTGTACCACGTGGAAAACGCATGTTAAGGTTTTAACAATAAGATACTAAAACGAAATAAAAATTAAACGTTAGACATAGTTTTAAAAAACTGAAAATTTAAGTATTAAAATATATCAAAACTAATAATTTATGTACTAAATGAATAATTTACTCTAATAATAAAAGACATAGAACGACAACGGTTCTCTATCTTTCTCACTCATCTGTTACCGTTTCATTCTACAGCAAGCTTTGTTGCTTTGCTCCTAACTTTTGTTTTCTCTCTCTCTCTGTAACCCTTCAAATTTGAAATTCATTATCTTTCGGAATTTCTCTTTCCTTTTCTCTTTTTAGTTTATTTTTGAAAAAAAAAATCCCTGCCTGAGAGTAGTGGCGGTTAGGGTTTTTCCTTTTTTGAATTTTGTACTGTTGGGATTTGAATGAGGAAAACATATATACTTCTGGGAAATCGGAATTGAAGAATCGGCAGACTTCATGGCCACCACGGAGTTGCAGATGAGTCCTCAGTTGGAGCAGATCCATGGCGAAATCCGCGATCTTTTCCGTGCTCTGTCGTATGTCCTCTTCGACTTGTTTACTACTCAAATGATTTAGGCCTTGTATTGTAATCTGCAATCACGTCTCTTTTCTCAACATACATGTGTTTTGACTTTAATATTGTTGTTTGGACTAGATTTCAACTTTGCTGTTTTGAGTTGTCCTTCAAGCTTCTAAATCTGATAACTGTTTTTTTTTAACTATGATGAAATGCTTTTCAGAAATGGGTTTCAAAGGCTGGATAAGATGAAAGATTCAAATAGGCAAAGCAAACAGCTGGAAGAGCTTACTGGAAAGATGAGGGAATGTAAAAGGTGTGCCGTATTTTTAGTATATGAGATATTTGATTTCTTCTCATTTTTACCTTTTTTTTATTCCTAACTTCAATGAACTGTTTGCAGATTAATTAAGGAATTTGATCGTGAAATTAAAGATGAGGAAAGCAAAAATCCTGCTGAAGTGAACAAGCAACTCAATGATGAGAAGCAGTCTATGGTTAGTTCGCCAATTTCCTTATTATTGGCATGAAAAAGGGTTCTCATGATGGAGTGTTCTAGTAGCTTGGTTTTAATTGATGAAATGAGCTCTCAGTCATATTGGTTTATTGTGGAATTATCTCCCCTAACATGCTTTCTTTTTAATCTTTTCTTTTTGCAGATCAAAGAACTGAATTCGTATGTAGCATTGAGGAAAACGTAAGTTTGCCTATTGTAAAGGGAACAGTGGGGATTTTAGTTTTGCCATCTGAAGTTCAATTCTTTATTTACAGTATGTCAGTTGAGTAGTGCAGTTTGGGGTTCAGCCAAGTCCGAAACTTGTACTTCCTAATGTAGGTTGAAACCAATTTTTGAGTAGCATAATTCAGCCCGTACTATCCAATGAGACTTGCTTTTTTTCCCTGTAGTTTTCATGTCATTATGTGTGTAACTGCAGATACATGAATACCCTTGGTAACAAGAAGATTGAACTCTTTGATATGGGAGCTGGAGTCAGTGAACCTACAGCCGATGAAAATGTTAAAGTGGCATCATGTAAGATCATACTTCTTGTAACCCTCCATTGTGTTTTGATTTGGTTAGAACATGTACTTGGGATCAAAGATGAGTTATGAAAATGATGGGTATGTTTTTATTACCTGCTATTGATTTTTCTTTTAATTTGCTATATGTAAATACATTCTAATACCCCGGAATCTCTTATCAATTATGATTTTGGTGATTTAGTTGATTTGGTATGTCTTCTTAGCATGTTGGACAGTTCAGAAACAAAGCTACTAAACATTCACGACTTTGTATGCCACAGGAAAATCAGTCGAATCCATGATCTTGACTGAAAATTATGAACTTATAACAAAAGAATCTCAGCATAGAGGTTACCTGTATTTTTTATCAAACCATCTTACGACTGCTTGATTTTCTAACAGCAATGTCAAATCAAGAGCTTGTCGATCATGGGATGAAAACAGTGGATGAAACTGATCAGGCCATTGAACGCACAAAAAAGGTAAACAGAAACAGCTTTTGTTCCCTAGTGTGGCCCTCTGCTTAGTTGTTGCCGCCTTTTTTCTTTTCTTAACTTTTAGATTTTCAGGTCGTTGAACAAACAATTGAAGTAGGAACCCAAACTGCTAGTACTCTAAAAGGCCAAGTAAGTCAGATTAAGCGGTCTTTATTATTATTTTTCTTCAAGCTGTTCTGTTTCATGCATATCTAATAGAAAGTTATCCAGACTGATCAAATGGGCCGTATTGTAAATGAGCTGGATACTATCCAGTTTTCTATTAAGAAGGCATCCCAGCTGGTAAAGGAGATCGGTAGGCAGGTTAGTTGAATTTTAGAACTCTGGATGCAACCTGGTTCAATTTGACTATTTTTTTTCTATGCCATATTAAATATCTTCTTCCTGCAGGTGGCCACTGATAAATGCATCATGCTATTTCTTTTTCTTATCGTATGTGGCGTTATAGCCATCATAGTTGTGAAGGTATTCTTTTCCCTTCTTGATTTCATTTTGGTAGCCTGTTAAACTTTCTGATTTATTACGGTGGAAAAGTGAGGTATGTTTTGGTGTATATTTTGAAAATCAAGCTTTTGTAAAGAAATATTTGTGAGGACTTGCCACCAGGGTCGTTTGCCTTAAACACGTTCAACTGCTCTATCATATTGTTTGTGAAATTATGACAAGATGAAAGGAAGTGTTGAATGTGAAAAATATTTGTCACTACTGGTTACGATT